CCCCGGAGCGGGGCTCCTGCCCCGCCTGTCCGATGGCAGCAGCGATAGGGGAGGTGAAGGGGGCTAATGCACTTAGCACCGGGAACAGTCCGGCCTCCCCTACCGGCCCAGAGGGCTTAGAGCCGCTTATCTCAGGCTTCCCTAAGGACGAGAAGTTCCGGAAGTTCCCTGCACTTCGGTGGGACCCAGGTGGAGAGCAGAGGGAGCTGAACCCTGGAGGGCTCAGACGGGGCTTTCAGGGTCCCTTGGCCCTGGAGCTTCTGACCCCTCTCCTTTCCCAGCTCACACTCCAGATCCTCTGGGGAGTGGGCCAGGTTGGCCCTGCTGGCCCTGCTTGGGCTCCAGGTACCCAGCTGTCAAGATGCCAGGGTCACCCCACATCTACCCACACACAGGAAGCTGACTGGTTCCACTGCTTCATGTCTATGGGCTTCCCTAAGTGGGACCCCTCCGGACCAGTCCGCCGCCCCTGCCCCACCCCTTTACTCCGGGCCTCCTCTGTGCCCCCTTCCCAAGGGGAAAGTCTTGTTGGGACATGAGTCAGCACAACAGCTGCAGGGGTCACAGACAGGAACCTGACCCCTCATCCCCTCCCTGACCCACGCTGAGCTCCCAGGGCCTGCTGAGCTCCCAGGGCCGGTGACTGGAGCACCTGACCCCATCCACACACACTGAGCACAGCCAAGGAGAGCCCTGGCCCAGTCCCCCCCAGTATTCTCCATGAGACACCACTTAAACTAACCCAAGGTGCCAGCTGGCCTTCAGGGGACTGCCTGGTGCCAGGGGCTGGACTGGGAAGTGGAGTCAGAGTCCAGGGACTGAACTGGACAGACAGCGCCGTGTTTACAGCTCTGACCCTGCCCCACCTCCAGCATGGGGTGTTCCCACCAGCTCTGCCATATTTAGCTCAGATGCAAGGCCTGTTCCCAGAAGCAGGCATGGTGGGGGGGCACCAGTGGGCTGGCCCCCACAGCCACAGGAAAGAGATGAGACTCTGGACATGACTGAGCATTTATTGCAGCACTAACAGAGGGTACTGGGGGCCCCACCCTTCCTCTGCCCTCTTCACATCCCCCTCCCTCCACTCTTCCCCAAGCCTCCTTCCCAGCCAGTTCCAGACCCGGCTCACACTTTTCCTACTCCTCTGAAGCGGAAACCTGGACCAGGGTCTCTCCTCCCAGGAACCTCCTATGCTCACCGGCACCTTCCGCCCTTCTTGGAGCTGGGGGTCCTCAGCTGAGCTGGCCCCCAGCTCTCCGACCTTAGTGCCCGTCTTTGCTCCCTTCTCTTTAGGAACTCAGGGAACCCAGGCTTCCTGGCCTCCGGCTCCCTCCTCCCCTAGCCCCCAACTCCGGGCAAACTACAAAGCATTCCCTGCCAGCAGCCCCCCTCCATGGCCCTAGCCAGGAAGGGCCCAGTCCAGGGCACACACGATGGAGCCAGAGTCACAGTCTCTCTCAGCCTCTCTGTGCTTCCTGGGACATGGAGCGGGACAGGGAGCGACGAGGGGCGCCGGGCTTGCTGACCGGCACCACCGGGGGCAGCTGCTTGGTGATCTCGGCCACGTCCTGGCGCTCCTCACACCGGCCACCCAGGGCTGCCTCCAGCGCCAGCAGCTCCTGGATGGAGGTCTCCTCGCGCTCTTCCTTGGCGGCTCCCACCTTGGTGGGGGGGAAGATGGGCAGCGGCAGGAACCCCCCGGTGGGGCGCTCGGGCGCCCCGCA